CACTTATGGATATGCGTACTGACGGACAGCGGTGCCACACGCCGGCCTAGGGTACCATTTCCTAAGAATACAAGTAAGAACCACTGGGGCCTCGGGGTCTTCAAGAGGAAGTGGGGCCCAAGTCTCAAGTCCGAAGGCGGCGATCAGGGCGATATGCCGACGTACGCTCACATCTGCAGATGCATTAGCACTTTACCAAAGGATTAAAATTCGCAAGTACGTCCAGCAAGACTCAAAACACGAAACGCGAGTAGCGATTAGTAACAGAACCACATGAACCACCATGAAAGCAAGCCACAGCGAGAACAACAGGTAACCAGTTTGGCAGGTACGTTTACACGGGCCCCAGAGGAGGTCTTCGTGAAATCGGAAACAATTCAACGGAATCCCTGTGACTACAATTCAAAAGAAGCCCTGTGACTACAAGGGGTACACACACACACACACTTGGGATAGGGTGTGCGGAATTGAGTGCGGCTTGCCACACGCCGACCTGGGCATGAAACCTAAGAGTCCATGGTACGAAACCTGAAAGTACCAAGTGGAGAGACGTCTCACAAAATGAAAGCTCGAAACGAAAGCTCGAAACCTCAAAGTTTTCCAAGTTTGACATGTCCCAAAGTCAGGTTGAAAGCGACCCAGTGCATGACTGCAGCGAGCATAACATGTGCAAAGGCTAGTGAGCTTGTTGTAGTTACAACGGGGCTCAGTGGGAATGAACGGTCAGAACTTGCAGGTACAGGAATGTGCGTCCACATTCCCTTCCGGCTGAATCCCGTAGCTTCGTCGGCATGGCCAGGGAAACAGCTGCCATGCCGCCTGCAAAACACTTGCAAATCAACGACCAAAGGTCCCCTCTGACTCCAAGGGTTACACACCACGCATGAGCCTCGGTTGTGGACTAGACACTCCCACTGAGTCCTCGTTCATGGACTGGACACATGTACTCTTTGTGTTCCGCACCTGCACGTCTTTGTCTGACAGCGGTGTCGGGTCATGCAGGAGCTTCTGCAACGGCTTTGGCAGCATCTCCCTGTGCGCCATGCGTTGTCGGGCGACGGGAATGAGCTCAAGGTGGCCGTCGAAAAGGCTGCAATGAATCGCCTGGAGAGAGAACAGGCCTGGGGATGACACTCTGGTGGCCTTTTCCTTCTGGCATGTGTTGTTGTTGTGGTGGTGGTGGTGGTCGTCGTCGTCGCTGTTGTTGTTGATGACGATGAGGATGAGGATGAGGATGATGAGGATGAGGATGAGGATGATGAAATGTTCGGGAAGAACTGGAGATGATTCAGACTCGGCTGCCAAGATCCGTCAGTTCCTATGTCTGAGAACGAACCCCATAGAGTGTTTGCACCTTGGCCGCCATAGGCAGCTCGATGCGTTCAGTGCTTGGCATGCACGAGAATATGGCTGTGACTTGGATGACTGAGCTGCAATTTTTGCGCCGCCGTGCGCAGCGAACCGAGTGTCGACTTGTGTTTTTGAGAAGCAAGAGTCCTGGGGTAAATCTGACGTCACCAAGCAACGCTGTATTCCCAGATTCCTTTAGAAAGCATTCTGGTACATTTCAGTTCAGTTGGGCTGTCTATTTCTCTTGGAAACTGGGTCTCTACCTCCTAACCTGCCAACCAGACCCGGATCCCAACCCCCCAACAAGCCCAGGCTCATTGGCCCACTAGTGCAGCGCCTGGCTTGGCTGCAAGATGCGGTGGCGCGGGGAGACGAGGCGGCGAAGAAGGCGCCCATGAACGCGCAAGAGGCGCGGACCCAGGCGCGGGGTCAATGAGGTGTTTGCTCTTTTCGGAGTTGGGCAGATGCCACAGATGGATTCTGGCATGGGAGGGTTGGCCATGTCAGTCTCTGGCTTCGGAGGGTAAGCATTCGCCAACCCATATCAGTTCAGATCCAGTTCCTGAGGGAAACAGTGGCATCTATATATACAAAGAAGCGGCAGACTCGATGCTTTACACAATGTCAGGGAATTTGAATGACGGACTCGCTCCAAAGGGTTTACCTACCCACCATTTCCTTTACCCGATGATGCCTAGGCCATTGGCCAGCCTCCACGCCCCCTGACGCTGCAACTGCAAAGCCAAGAGTGGTGCGGCATTGTGCCTGAGATGCAACGAGTGGAGATGGCTGTGGAGGAAACAGAAGGCCCAAGGGGCACAGACCTGGCACAGGGTTTTTGGAACACCCAAAACGATGTCCAGGAAATCTTCTCATCTCCAGGGGCTTTTGGGGAAACAACACTTGAATTTAGGTGCCTAGCCAGGCGATTGCGAGTTTCTTCTCTTGTGGCAGAGGCTGACCTGTGCGAATGGGCAGGATTTCTTTTGGCTTCTCCCTTCGACTTTGGTGGGTAATGGTGCCTGTTTTTGATTTTGATGTACACACGCATGTGTACTATCTTTAGCTTCACTTCAAGAATCATCACCTGAGCCTTTGGCTGAGCCTCGAGCCCATTTTCCAACCACTTGGACACCCAACTACACCATGGTGAGTCTTTGTGTTACCACAAGTGGTCAAAACCAAGGCCCGGCCACCCGTGTTGAACCCTCAGCCACCCGGGGCCCACTGGAGGTTCCGAAGCTGGACCGAATTGTGGTGATTCTGTCCATTCACCTGGAGGATGAGAAGGATGTGGCGCTGGGAAGGGCCTTCTGCCGCTCTGAACAAAGCGCGGGTGCGATGCGCTCGGGTGCCGGTTTCTTCGGCGCTCCGTTTGGACGCCGGTGGCGTGGGTGGCGCGTGGTTTTGGCCCTTCGCCGGAAGGTGAAAAGATCCAGAGTGGTTTAACTGTTTAACTATATATGGAATTGGGGAACTGTTCTAAGTATCGTGGTCACTTTTTTCTTTTGCGTGTTGTTTTCGCAACAAACGTGAGTTTCCAACACTGGGCCCGTGCGTACGGGCAGCAGCATTTGATGAGGTCAAGAGTTTGCTGAGACGAACCGCCACTTGGCTGAGGCATCTCTGGGATGACTGCCACTAGGATGAAGACAACGACACTTCAGACCACACTTCCGTTGCGAAAGTCCACTTTGGCGGGGATGTCCATTGATCCCTTGTCCCCTTGTCCCCTTGTGCTGTGGGTGACGCAGCAGCCACTGAGGCAAGGGCAATGAGTTTTCTCTCCCGTCGGAGGTCTCAGCATGGCTTGGCTGGCGAATTTGCAATGCTTCAACTAGACCTACAAGAATCACCAGGGAGCTCTTAGAATGTGGGGTGGTCTATCCTGTTGAAGAAACGTCCATTTCCAGTCAATATACCCGCATACAGTACAGAGTCCTGTGCTTGCTGTGCTTATCCGGGTGCTTGATGATACCATTTTGTTGGATGGTACCCGGAGATGTGTTCCATTATTCTGGCTCACGTTCCAGCCAGTCACGACAATCTGGAAGTGAATCACTCAAATACTAAATGAGCTTTGCCCTGAAGCTATTTCTTGTAGCATCCAAGAGTGCTGTCAACGATACAGTTGGTTGCTATGTTGTCTGCTTTCAGTTCTATCATTTCAAACATTGAGATCGCTTGTCTGGCTGATCTCACAGATCTTCAGCATGGAAACCCAAAAGAGTCAGAAGAGCTTCTTTTGCTCAACAGAGCTTCCTTGCCCAAGGGCGGGTCCTGATCAATTCCCTTAGAACATCCCTCCCTAAGAGTCGGAGGGACCTGTAAAGCCCTCAACATCACCCGCTGCTTCTTTTCGCACAGCTACCGTCCCGCCGGATTTTGGCCTCAGCTACCGGCCAGTGGTGTCCCTGCTGCCGGGCCGTTGTCGCCTGGCCATTGCGGGGGGGGAAGGACCTGAACATGTATGTTTGTCGGAACACTTGGCAGTTGGATGGGCCTGCCTGGGAGGATGAAGATTGAATGGTCTCAGAGTCTACCAACCACTAAATTTCAGTTTTGCTGCCTTTGAAGCAGAACGAAAAAGCAGTAGACCCCCCTCATCCAGGCCAACAGCTTCCCAACAACAACAGTTTAGGGGAATGTATGGGAATGTATATAAATCAGTCACACCGGAACCTGTTGATGGACAAGATCCGGCGCAGATCCTAGCATGTACCAACTTTTGTGCATCCCAAGTGGCAGAGAACTTTGTTCATGATTAGTAGACTGACTTACACACGAAACAGAGCCAGGCTTTGCATATACAGAAAAGACCTTCTCTTGGACAAAAAGCTTCAACATCGAAACACCAGACCGCTGGATCTTTTTGACTTAAGGGTGACGGTCCAGAAAGTGCTTGGGGGTCTTGCTGCTTCCAAGTGACCAGTGGTCATAGCACCACAGCTGAAAGCATCGATCTGGCGGATTCGATTCCTCCGAGAAGGAGCTTCCTCCGAGATCTGAGGATCACAGGACTCCGAGACACGAGAGCGGAATTCCGGGAGCGATCTCTTGGTGCCCAGGAAATGAAGAACGCCATGAAATATCTCTGGGCGTTTCTGCTGCCCCTACTTCGTGCTGAAGATGATCCGAAGCAATACCCTGTGACGAAGGCGAACTCGTGCGCACGGACTCTGTGCGACAGAGCTGCGCGTCTCTCGGGCCTGGTCACACATGGATCACATGTGAAGGTCAAGCAGCACTTGAGAATGTATGGATATGTATATGCATGCAAAGTTTGAAGTTGGCTGAAAAGCCATCTTCACAGCACATGATTTCGAACAAGCTCTCGCAACCTGAGGCTGCAGCCAGGAGGTACTTTCCTTTCGATGCAACTCACCCATCTTGCATGCATCAGAACCTCTTACCTCTTACTGTACCTCTTGGTAAGCATGATATCGTGTGGAACACTCTTGTGAGTTAGCCCTTTCATCAAGTTTCTAGTTGTCACTGCATTACTGTAGGGCTGGGGGCTGAACCCAAAGCCATGTTTGTGCAGTCGTGATGTCAAGTGGTTGAGGGATGTCCTCACGAAGCCACAGGTTTGTGATCCATGGCCAGGTCTACCATGCATATTTTGACTAGGACACTTACGATTGTGATCTTGCAGCATGTGGTAGCAACATGTGGATGCCCAAATGCTACCTCTACAAACCAGAGGACTCGTTTTCACATGGGAAGCAACGACCCGAGTTGTCGTGGTCTGTTGCTTCCTGGATGCATGTGCCCACCCTTTGGCTCTGATTCTCAACACCTGATTCAGCAGGTGGTGAATCTTCTCAAGGACATGCAGAAGAAGCTGGAAGTAGAGGCGGAAGAAGATGAGGAAGTGGACGAGAAGATGAAGTGCTGGTGCAAGGATGGGTTGGTAAAATTCCATCATCACCGAGTTTCCATGAGTTTCCTATTGCCCCTCTGGTCCATGGTAGCCAGGCATCTTCTTCAAAAACTGTAGGTCCCAGATTTTCAGGGTGCTTTGTAAGCCAGGGTTGATCTGTGTTGATCTAAAGGCCATTGACATCAGTTGGATTTCCTCACTAAATGGTTGTCCTTTGATTGGAACAGGGCTTCAGATCAACCCTACCATTTCCATCCATCTCCAGCCGGGCAAAAGCCGATCGGTTCACCAGGACACCGAGCAATCCAAAGCTGAGTGACTCGGAGGTGATTGGATCACCACATGCGTTCTGACATGGATCGCACAAGAGGACTCTTCTATTGGTTGCAGCACCACCCCCACAGGCAGTCAATCCATCTTGCCAAACAGATCTTACCATCATCCCTCATCCCCGAGTGCTGAAAATTCCTGTTCGCAGCAGCTTGTCTTTCTCTTTTCCATCCCTTCAATCCCTTCACCTGAAATCAACTCCTTCCCCCTGTTTCAGCCACAGCTTCCTTCCTCCAGTGCCACGCCCTGGTGGTTGAAGAAGCGAAAAAGCTTGCCCCAGAGCTCCAGAGCCGCGGTCTCTCAATGCCCCAGAGCTCCAGAGCCGCTGCCGCTTCCAAGGAGCATTGCGGGCACCGAGTCGCAGCTCACCAGCTTGGGCGCGCTCATTGAGACCTCGGCCGCCGAGGCGGTGCGCCTCTCCTCGGAGATCGGCGGCCACGAGGGAGATTTAGCGCCTTTGGAGGGACGAACTCAGCGTGGGTGGTTTGGGGAGGGAGGTTTTGGGAGGGAGGGACGGGGAGGGACGGAACTTCTGAACTCGGAGGTTTTTTTTGTTTTGTTTTGTGTTTGGTTTGGTTGTTTGGGGAAGACGTACGACTGAAGTTCGTTTCAGGCGAAGATAGAAGACCAAGTAAGTCCACCTTAAAAGCATAATTACATCAAGACATTGAAAGACATCGTGGCTTTCTTCCGGGATGGTTCTTAGTGGTTGATGATGGCAGTTGTGGGGCTCATGCCGGAGGACTGACACCGGAAATCTTGACCATTCTTAACCCATTCCCTTGGTGATATAGAGAGGAATACTTTGGAGGTGTTTGGAACACGTGTCAACCTGAAGACGAATCCTGGTAGGTCACGTGTGCGACCTGAAGTGAAAACCCTTGGGCAGGGACCAGTGGATGGTCTATTTTCATCTATTTTCAATTCATTATTTTCATTTTTTATTAAATACAGGAGCGGTGCTGCGTCGGTACTCCAGAATCTTCTGCTATCTGCCATCCATTGCAAGAATCGTAGGCGAGTCGAAGGGAAGACATCGTAGACTAAGACCCCGTGGGCTTTGGTACCCGCAACACCTGGTGTGTGACTGTTCGTTTTGTTTTTTCTCCGGTCATGAAGATCAGTTGCAGGATGAGATGCAAGCCAAAACAGTCCCATCCTAATGGATTGAATCCTTATTTGTGCTTTTCTTTGTATTATAGTTACTAATTAACTCAGTCGTGTGCAGAGAGTGCCCCTTCTTCCTATCGTCCTCCCTGCTGACTTTGCGGAATCTCTCTGGTGCAGGAGTTCTATATAGACTTGGAAAGCCTAGGTGTATTAGGAGAACACTTTTTTCGACAGACAGAAACTTAAACCTAGCAACTTTTGCTTTGGCCAAGGGGTTAGTTCAAAGGAAAGGGTTGCTTTGTCACTGAGTGGTGTGCAGGATGCCCCTCAACCTCAAAAGTCTGGTTCCCCCCACATTTTTTGGTTCTCCGTAATGGTCTTGAATGCCCAACAGCAAATCCAACCTTGACAAGCTGCCAGCAAAACTCTACCAGAGTGCACAAAACCAACATCCAAAGCTCAAATTTTGGTATGGACTCTGGTACTATCCCAACTCACTCTGTCTTGTTGTCCAAACCATCTCTGGAAGCTCTTTTTCCACTCCCATCATCTGGTGTCTTGCAACATCGAGGCCTCGAGCCAAAACTCCTTGAGTGCTGCAGAGGCCCAGCGGAAGAAGCAGCAGGAGAGCAGGATCGCGTCGCGCCCTGCGGAGTGATCTCTGCAAAGCTTCCGTGGAGAGTCACCAACACCGATCAACTCATCTGAGTCAAGGATGTCTTTTTGTGGCTGTGAGCCGATAGCAAACCCGGTGGGGAATTCATCGGAATGACTTGAGCGACTGGTCGGCGAATGCTCGGCGATGTTTTTGAGGGGTTTTGGATGGTGCTGTTTTCTTTTTTTGTTGTGGGTTTGTCTCAAACCTAGGGGGACGATGTAAACGGCCAAACCGGCACTGTAAACGAGCGGGACGATGTAAACGGCCTGAACACGGAGTTGATAAACAGCCGTGTTGGCCTGACTCCGAATCGATGGAGGCTTCGGAGGCTTCGATCTGTGGGTCGCGTCCTACAACTCTTTTCGATTTTCATTGGATTAAGCAATTGTGAGAAGACATGTGACAATGGGTTGTGCTGTCATGGGTATATGTTTCGAAAAGTGATACAACACAATGAAGCTCAATGAAGCTGATAATTCTACGCACGACGCAGGCAAGTGGCAAGAGGTGGTGCTTGTTGAGTGCCTCTGCTCCATGAGCCAACCCCAAACCATGACCAGTTTCCCATTGTTGTTTGGATTTTCCCATATTCTATCTACTCCAGGACTCCAGGACCCAGGATGACTATAATTCTCTGTTGAACCAATCCTCGCTGCATCCAAACATCAGGAGACTTTTGCTGAAGAGGAAAAGCAGATCGAGGACGTCGCTCTTTGCGAGAGCATCAACTGATTTCTAGAGTAAACGGAGTAAACCGGGCTTCACTGGCACGACTATAGAAGCAAGCGGCTTGGGTCGTTGCATGCCACAAGTAAGCAATGCTCACGGCAGACATATATATTTCCAAATTTGGTCTGCGGATGTATCGCCAACACAGAAGGTATGACAACGTTGGATGGACAATTGTGCTTGACCCCAAGGTCATCAGTAGATTACTGGCGCTGCTGGATTCATTACTTCATGGGTCACCAGAACAGAAGCTTTGCTGTTTGAAGTCATATAGGGGTGAGCATTCAAGTTCTTCAAGCCTTTCATGTTTGGAGATCCTGTCCACTTCATCACCGTTCTCTTCACTTCTTCCACCAGAATCCTGTCAATCCGCCCGCGGTCGTGTCCGGTCTTGGCGCCCAGGAGTCCCTCACTGGGGTGGATGCCGCACTGGACCACTTGCAGCCGACCTCCTTCTTGGCCACCGCTGTCTCTTGGCGACACGGGGGGGTTACTGGCACGAAGACGTGGCGGCTGACCGGCAGGTCCACCGAAGAAGGGGTGTCTGTTTTCTTGGGGTTGAATGGAGTATTTCGCGAAGAACTGACGAAGACAAGACCATTTCTGTTGATTCATGTTTTCCACGTGAAAATCTATGTTTTGTCCTGTGCGAGTGGAGTTGAGACATCCTGTTTTCATCGTGCTTTTCGAAAGATAAGACCAGCTCATTATGCCCCAACAGGTACCGTGTCATTCGCCAGACCTCGCCATGGCTTTCTGGTGGACTCCTTTTGGGAACCTCCTCAGCAAGTGACCCTTGCTCCTCACGATTGCCGCTTAAGCTTGATACATCCTGGGCTCCAAGAACGCTCACTTGCTTGTGGACTGTCTGTCACGCCCCGTTGAGCCCTTCCAGAAATACATCCTGGGCTCTAAACCAACTCACCCGTCTCCCCGTGGTTGGAGGCTTTTCAGCGTCCACCGCCGTGTGGTCTCGTCCGGAGGCCACGGGAGCGACGAAGGACGAGGCCTTGCGGCTGATCGATGAGCTGCAGCGGAAGCACTCCAGGCTCTTGAGACTCGGCACTTGAGACTCGGGGACTTGAAGGTGGGCGCGGTGAAGAACTGGGATGGTGAGGACTTGAAGGTGGGGGACTCAACAACTCAGCCAAGGAGTTGGAGGGTACGGTATGATCACACAACTTTCGTCTTCTTTTGTGAACGAAGCCAAGCATCCGTATCAAGCCTACTTGGTTGGAATGGCCTGAAGAAACACCCTGCATTGAAACTTGAGAAAGCTTTAGACTGATCTCTGAAACAGTACACAGTACACAGGACGCCATGCACCTACCCTCCAGAGCACCGACACTCGACCAGAGATTCTTCTTTTGGGCAGAGCTTCTTCCGCAGTGGTGGCGGGATCTCCAGGTCTTCTCGGGTTGGTCTCCAAGGGTCGAGGAGAGGAGTGAGTCTCTAGCCCTCCATCCTCCCTCCATCCCTCCCCAGCCCGCTTGCTGGCCCCAGGAGAGGGTCTGTGCCCCACCGACGGACGTTGATGCTGGCTGCGGGAGACGCACGTTTGGATGTGGACACCACGCCTGCAACAGGAGGGGTCTAGGTCGCAGGTGGGTTTTTGGGCCAAGTGTCCACGGAACATGCATGTCCACATATTTATTCTAGCACAATCTACCACAGGACTGGGGGCCCGGCGCTGTTTCACGCCGCCCTGGTGTTTGCTCGTACGTGAGAAGAAGTTGGATCAACTCCCAGCGAAGGCTTCTGGCACGATGTGTCAACGATTCTTTGGTTTCTTAGAGAAGCACGCCCTGCCTCAGTGGTTTTCATAGGTGCATGCCGCAGAATCTGCGGCTTTGTGCTGAAAACAATTGTTTTCAACGACGCATGTCATGGACATGACGTGTGAGGAGAAGTTGTGGGCATCCTGTCGTCGATGAAGGAGAACCGCCTGGGGCATGGGGGTTATTCTGGCAGACTTGGGAGAACGAACAGTCAACGGATACCATAAACCCGTTGGCAAAAGTCCATGTGTCAACAGTTCATCACATCAGAGTTTCAGGTGCCGAAGTCAACATATCTCTGCCTGAGAATGATTTCCTCTTCGTCACCTGACTGTTCAGACAATCTTTGCTGGGTTTGGCAACCTAAGCCGGAGAGGATCTGACACAGATCCGCCGTAAGAGCTTCTTGCTACTACGTAGTAATGCCCTTGTTACGTTCGTAGCTTCGTGTTCCTAGTAGTGACAGGAGCTACGAACGTCGCTTCTTGTTCCAGAGCCGTGGACTTCGCGGTGCTTTGGAAGTCCCCCCCGCGCCGGACCGACGAAACTGGTGCCTCTTCCGATGCTTCGCGAAGGGCGAACGGCCTCCAGCGGTGGGATTCCATCGATTGCTGAGGGTGCTTGGAGGCACATGGACCCCTTGCTTCACGGTGTTTTTTTCCTTGGCTTTGCTGAGGGTGAGTTTCTTGTTCTTTTTTTACAATCTTTTTCGATGGGTGAAGCCTCTTCAGGAATATGGTTCTGTCCTATTGCCTGCAACAGTTGGTGAACAATTATATATATATATTTACTGTATATCTTTATTTTGGAGAAAGGCCTCAAACTGAACCATCATCATCCACTGTTACTGGTAATAGGATAGATCCAAGGAATTTTCAGGAATATTTTTGTTTATCCTCTTTTATCCCTTCCTGGTTCCTGGATCGCAAATCCCAGGAACTTCCTTGGTTCCATCCATAGAACTCGTTCCAGTGCTCCTTCTCCCCAGCTCCTCGTCCCAGCTCCAGGTCTCCGTACCGGTCTTCCATCGGCAGGACACGATGGCCACCAACCTCAACCAAACGCGCAGTGAGGAGCCCGTCCTGTGAGGGATGTGAAAAAGGGGGTGCCCGTCGGGAAGATCGGGAGTGTCGATGGCCTGGAACATATTGGATTGATTCATACAGGGGATGCCACTGGTCGTTTACAACTAATTGGGACATGGAACCCCAATGACCTCTCCATTGTTTCCCACAGGTCATATGAGAGTCTTGCGCGAAAATAGCTTCCATCCATATTTTGGTGCGCAACATGTGGAACGAAAACCACAGACGAGACAACCACCCTGTGCGTTTTTCCCCACGTGGTTTCCTTTCACGTTTTCCTTGTCAAACGAGACTTGTAGACGACAGACATGACTACGTAAGTAAATTGGACATGCAGGGGCTGACGTTTTGGATCCCTGGAGGCTGTCAATGAACGATTTGGTATCTTAAATTCCCAGTTCTTGCTTAGGGCTTAGAGCCAACGACGTGACATCAACATGGCTCAAACAGGCTCAAACGCACATCTAAACATATAGAATTCCAGAGACTGAACCAATGCATAGACTAACAAACGTCTGCCACTGAAGCTCCCGAGCTGTCTGACCCGTCCGAGGAGCTGGAAAGCGCAGAGACCTTCAATGGCCTCAGGAAGGCCAAGCTTACAGAGATTCAGGCCACAGAGGAGGCCTGGGAGTTTCTCTTTCAAGCAACCCTCAAGACATGGTGGTTGATCGAAAGGTCGACATAAGGCCTATGTCATCCGAATTGCGTTTCAGTTCCCTCCAGAGTGGTCCAGGATCCATGAGATGTCCCCCATCACATGGCTACCACGGGGGCAGATGTTCCTTGCGCCCCAGGCGATCCTCTCGAAAAAGCAACAAAAGGCCAAGGCCGACACCACGGAAGTTCGCGCCAAGAAGGACTTGGAGGACGCGCAGGTGAGCCGAAGCGGAAGCTGGTGCACGTCCGGTGGGCACTGGCATCAAGAAGCTACTAGGAACAAAGTGCCGCTAGCGGAGCAATTACATCCAGATCCCTTGGATGGTCATGAGAAACACCATCCTATTTTAAGGAGTCTTCGGCAGAACATCGCTTGGGTTGACTGACAATCCAACTTGATCTCGTATAGTTTGTTGTTTAACAACTAGGCAAACTACGGCAAACAAGGTAATGTAGATTCTTGATTAATGCACTATCCCGGAACATCTCCATTTGGATTGAATAGCCTCTTCATGCAGGGCGTTTTGTCAATCAAGAGTCGACACTACTTCTTCCGTTGTCGTCCAAGCTGCGATTCCCCAAGCACCCGAGGCCAGCTTGCTTGTGGACAAGCAGTTTCTGGAGGATGCCAAGGTGGGTTCACTGCCGAGCGAGGGGCCCATTCATGCACGAGGATTTGGAAGCTGACTTGAGATCCCACTCTTTGGACCACTCACTCTATGCGTATACGATCCAATTACGAGCAGTAAACGTGACTGCTGGTCATTCAATCTGGTGCATATGCGGATTCACGCCCAAGTTCTCATTGGCTCATTTGATGAGCGACGCTTCCTGTCCGGGCAGCGACGTGGCGAACCTCGCGGGCGCTTCAGCGTAGGGTGACTCACCCAGCCCACAAAACGCCCAAGCTGTGGTTGCGAAGGCTGGTTCAGACAGGAGTAAAGAACAATCCATCAAGATTGAAAGGATGGATTGTGTTTTCATTCTGTTTTTTCACGGATTTTTATAGTTCCATCATCACGTTCTACCAGCATATCTATCTCGACCCCGGAAACCTCGCATCAACAAAGAAGCTGAATTCACTTCAGCGACCTGAGCAGATATGCGATGAGAACGCCTGGCCCTTGGTCTTTGGCCACAGAGTCCGACATCTTTTGCTACCCCAAACTCGTTGCTTTGGGCCAATCGACCAATCGACTTCTCCAGAGGAACCCCCTCTCCTCGCCACGCTGCCTCTCCGACCGACCGTCGAGGTGAAGTGCGAGGCCCATGCGGCGGAATACGCCGAGAGGGTCAAGGTCCGAAACGAGGAGCTGGTCGGCTGCTCGAAGGCCGGAAGACGAGCGTCGAGCGGTCGGGGGATGGAAGGGGGATGGAAGGGGGGAATCGCCCAAGCCCGGGAGTTTAAGTCTGAATTCAGCTTCAGCTTCGCAAGGCAACAGATAGCAACTCCATGGAAACCCAACCTAGATTCTGCTGTTGGAGAAAAAGTGTCCTTTAGGTGATGATCCGAATGTTTCCTTTGAGCTGCAGGGAACGCATTGGCTTCCCGCAGCTCCACAGAAACTGCCGGTGGATTCGCTTGGATTCCCTGAGTCTCAACACTGAGATGGGTCGAACACTGAGGGCAGCTGCGCGTTGAGCGCGCCGCTTCGCCGCTTCGCTGGTCTGTGAGGCCGCGGCGATCTTGAGCGACGATTCGGCCAGAGACACCTTCAGCCGGGGATCTGGGGGATGGAAAGAGCACGGAAGGGGTGTTGGAACAAAAACCAAAACTTTAAAAATAGGAAACCAGAAAAGACCTCTTTGAACCCCCAGAACTCCAAGATCAACCCAAGACCCACTGGGCCCGCGGTCCTTGGATCTCTTCCCACCACGCCGACCTCACCGTTGCAAGGTCGGACCTTCAACGCCGCCTTTCTGCAGCTGGGCCGGGCCAATCGGACGCAGGCGGAGCAGGCGGCCGCGGTGTTGGCGAAGGCGGCCGCCAAGAGCCATGATGCCAGGTGCAGCTGGAAGAGGGAGAGATCCGGTGCGAGAGATCGTGTGATCTTGTTTGGAACATGCTCTTCTTTCGTGGCACGAGCGGAAAGGATACATAAATAAAGACAACACATATATAACTTTATATCACTATATAAATATATAATGATTATATATAGCATGTAAATGTGACACAAGGGTTGAAGATTTCCGATATTTGATGTCAACAAATCGGATTCCTTGTGGAATCACAGGTTGGTGGCAGTCTCCCACATGGTCCGCACCGATGCCTTTGACCAGGTCAAGCAGGAGAGGCGAAAACGTTCCAAACCACCCAATGAACAAACCCCGAAGGAATGCCAACCAGCGTTCGCCTTTAGATTTTTACTTTTTTTTAAAGATACTTATTCGCTTGTCTTAAATGTACGCGGGTTCCAGCCAGCAGGGGAACATAGAAGATCTGGTGATTTTGCTGCAGATGTCTTGGGTTTTGAGCGCTTCCAGCTGCGAGCAAAGGAGATTGATTCCATGGTGCGTCAGTTGAAGAAGGTGCAACAGGTGCGGATTTGACGTGAAAACGTGGGTGAAAGCCTTGGTCAGTTATGACCGATTCAGGTATCTGCACCTACCTTTTCGTCTTTGGCCATAGTACAGCAACTCATGTGATGTACGTCCAGCTCGGGTTGTATCCCAAGTAATTGCCGAGTGGGATGATCACTTCACGAATCATGAAGTGTGTGAAACATGTGAGCACCGCAAGAAACCTCCCAAGATGAACTAAATAAAGGCCTTGTCCTATGGAACTTGGGCGTAGGCAAAACCTAAAAAGCGTAAGGTTGCGTAAGGGAGTTGTGAGACATGCATGTGGTGTAAGCTTGCCATATAGTCGTATTTTCACCTGCAAAAGGAGCGTTCGCGTAAGCATTTCCCTTGGGAGAATGGTTCTTATGTGTGTATGCGTAAGATTTGCGTAAGGTTTTCTCCAACATCCGTGGCACGTAAGCTCACATTGTGGTCGCGTAAACAAAAGGTAAGCAGGAGCGTAAGACAGTTATACGACATAGGGGTTTAATCATGTGTATTTTGCATAGCTCATGTGGATCCGACCGCACCGCGACAAGAACGTACGCAAGTCCTTCACCTGAACTTGGATTCCAGTTTGTCTGGGAAAGTGCGAGCAGTTTCGGGAGGAATGCCAGCCTGAAGTTGTGACTACGTTGTGACTACGATTTCACTGAAAGCTCATATCATGCAAACATAGCTAAATAAACAAAACAAAACGAGACTCAGCAGAAGACTCGACCAGAAAGGAGGACTCAGAACCAGACTCACGGAAAAAGTAAAACAAATAAACGGCAAAATAAAAACAGCTGGAAGCACCTCGAACAACAGAGACAGATAGAGTTTGTTTGTTTGTTTGTTTGTTTTATTTGCTTTGTCTTTCAGTCTGGATTTGTTTGTTATTGATATTGTTATTATCTTTTTTTTTGCAAGAAAAACAAGAAACTAAACAAATCCAGACTCAAAAACACACATCCAGACTCAAAGACAAAACACATAGACAAAGATCAATCTAGTTTTTGTAACTGTGTTCTCTCTTTCTTTTTTTAAAACTTCCGCGTCGATTTGTTTTGTTTTGTTTTTCAGAATGTTGTTTTGTTTGTTTTTGATATGTAGTTTTTTCTTGGTTCTTTGAAGGTTTTCTTCTTTTTCATGATCTTTGACTTTTCACAAATTCGATCTCACAAGCCTGGAGATGACAATCACTTTGTCCCAGGAGGAGGTTTCCTCCAAAGACTCCTGCGTGCAGCGATTGCATGAGAACAGCTTGGCTCCTTGGTGACGACTTTGCCTCGTGACTGACTCAACATGGACGATACAGGATTGCAGAACTACTATCGTTTCCAACAGTTTCTTCCGCAAAACGGTTTCATTCCAGTGAACAGTTTCAAAACGGCTTCATTCCCTATCCCATTCCAAGGAACCTTCCAAGGAATATATAATCACCACGAAACCGTTTTCATGGGGTCACTGGTTGTTTCTTTTGTTTCCACTTGGAGAGCAATCGCAAGAGGACAAGCAATCCGAAAGCCATGAAAGCAATGAGGCTTCAACTTGCCCCTCTTGCAACTCCTTAACATATCTTGACATCAGTTGAAGTCTAGGATTTTGTCAGGCGGTCCCAAATGACGGCGAAGCCACAGCATAGTTCCCGACCCCCTTTTCCAACTGTTCTTTCTTCTGTCAACTTTGGACACCCAGAACCTTTGGAAAGAATGAAGGGAATTTGGGCTGCCAGAATCAATCTCGCTTCAATGGCCGTGTGTGAGCTCTCCATTTTTACACTCCAGTGCTTCTGGATGAATAGAAAATGCTTTTCACACGTTTGCATGTTGTTGTTTTTTTTTTTTTCACACGGCTTTGCTGAGAAGGAACACATGTGCTCCGCACCTTTGAAACCAATGCTTCTTTTGATTGACATGAAGATGGACGAGACCAACATGGGCGAAACGTCCCTCTTTCGCCGACCTCGACGTCCCGCGTCGTGAGCCTCGACAGGACACCACCAAGTCGAGCAACAGCAAAGCGCAGATGGACAGCAAGGTCTCGGGCCTTCAGGAGATGGATTTGATTGCTTCTTTAGTTGATATAGTATTCCCAAATAGATACAACAGTAGATCCCCCTACGAACATGTCTTGGAAACTGTGATAGTGGATCATCCACGATCTATTTGGGGATCACTATACCAAAGTCCACCATTTTGAGGGAGCTTCTGTGATTTGGGGACTCGTTCGAACTTTGCGACTCGATCGGTTGCTTTCCTGATGTACTTTCTGTGTGATTGAGCTAGTTTCCACAGTTTCCACATCAATGGTCATGGGTGGCTTGAGATCAGTCAAGCATGTACAGTTGTGTCCTTGTACGTCTCTTCAGTCTCGGATTGTGTTCCTCCCGCTAGGTCGTGATTCTGCCCACCCTTTTCTGGTGCTCAACGGTTCTTTCGTGAGGATTTGGTGTCCCAGACCAATCACAGCATCAAAACCTTGAAACTGGAGATTGAAGAACTGAAGTCGGAGATGAAGACCGCCAAGACAGATATGGAGTTGCGGCAGAATGAGCCTGGCGGCCCAGTTGACAGATATGTTCCCCTTTGGTGCGTGAAGCGTGCGGTCTCCGCAGAGTCTTCAGCCGATGTCTGAGGTCCTCAGAAATCATCAAGGACCAAAAGCACACGCAAGAGTCTTCAGCTCAGCCAGTGACAAGTCCAGCATCTGTAGAGCATCTATAGATCGATAGAAAGAAGCATACACACACATATATATATATATGTACAACATATATATATATATACATATATATATATACAACACACACATATATATATATATACAACATATATATATATACAACACACACATATATATATACACATAACAACCAACAAATATATACAATGTATATATATATACATACAAAAATAACATCATACATATATTTGTATACACACATATAGTCACTATACTTCTCAGTCTGAGGCGAATTCCTTCGAAGTTCTGGCTTTCACGGAAATTTGAATAACCAATCACTTGTCGCACTGAAGGAACCTGGACCATGAAGAGACGATTTATCCGTACGAGGGTGACACGTTAGTTGGGTGAGGGAGTCCCCTGTGATAAGTTCTTTGCCGCACCAAATGTTCCAACAATACATCCCTGTCAGAGTGCAACGACATCAATCAGCTGCATGTCAGGTCTTTGTTTGGGTTTGGTGTGTTGGTCCAGTTGTCCATCATGAGTCGGTGGGTTTGCCAGCTGCATTGTGCGAGATGCCCATTTGGAGGTTCCGTTCGATTATTGTCACTCATTCAGCGTGAGGGGCAAGTCAGGAAAATAAAGGCCTTGCCTCCTGACACTGCAAGGTGTTGTGGGTGCTGCTAAGTAGAGCATGTTCTTGGTTCTACATGGTTCTACTGGAAGATGGGCAGGGTGCACCACCTTGAATTGCCTCACAACTCCTACAGCAAGCAGAGTTCATCGACAAAAACGGTGCACTCATAAATGCAACATTTTGCGACTGTCGTGTCGTTGCTCTTGTCTTCTTGTCGTTGTGATTTGCTGCAATCCGCCATCCTATGGAGCTGATATCCCAGATAAAAGGCAAGAGGCTTGCTTGTGCTTGTATGCTTTATTTGTGTGCGAGGCAAGGTGGGTGCCCTTTGGGATGAGCCGCGCCGCGACAGAATGCGTTACACAGCCGGTGAACCCGGCCAATATGGCCTGTTGGACATGCAGCGTCCAAAGGCGTGTGACTCTGTGCGGGCCCTGCGTTTTGACCGGCAAGGCTTTTGAGCCGAGCCCTGGAAGTCCTTGGCAATGTGTATGGGCAAAGCCTGCTCCAAGAGGCGCTGGGCTGAGCGCTTGGTGTTTTCCACATCCCAAGCGTTGTGCGATTTGGAGGCTGGGCCAGATGCTGGCTCTTCAGCTGTGATGCTGCTCCTGCAGCAAATCATCGGCGATGCGAAAGTGCTGCAAGCTAAAGCTGAAACAGACTTCGAAGCAGCAGTGAAGGACTACAAGCAGTTCAAGGATGATGCCACAGTGGCTATCACCACCAAGGCCCATGGGATGATAAAAACCAAAGCACATGGGATGATTTCTACGGCATAAACCGTGCAGAATAAACCTTTCAATCCACTTGCGCGATTCCAATCTCTTTGCCAGGAACAGAGCCTGGTGGATTTGGGCGTCGAAAAGTCTGAAAGCAAAGCAGACCTCCTGGAAGCCCATGCGGAGGCAGAGTGAACATGTCATCAAGAGATCAATCCTGACATGGGCAAGTGGCTCAACGAGGGGTCTCGAAACAGACGGCGCAACTTATTGAGTTGATGAACACTTGGCTCCAAGTCTTGTCCAACTACTGTAACAACTTCATCATGAGTGCGGTTGCGTGAAACAATCTTTGTAACCCGGCCGCAGAGTCTGCGAATAGAGCGCCTTGTCAACTGACCGACAAAATTGCGGAGTCAAACTTACAGAGGTGTGTAATCCTCGGGATGTCGCGAGAAATCTGACAGAGTGAACACCAGTCCACATTGTCTATAGGCCACTGAGCTTGAGAAGGAGTTGGCCTCCTTGGGAGAGACCAAAGCTGCACTCAGGGAGGCTCTGCTGGCGCACCGATGTTTAATTACGCATCAAATGCATTTGCATATCTTGACTCAAAACAACCAGACACTGGTTGCTTTGAGGGTCATGGTTTAGTTTTTTTGCGGTCCTCTCCATGTTCATTGGGGCTCTGATGGTAGTTTGATCCGATCCGATCTTTGATCCGATCCAGCAACATGAGGCGCTTAGGTTTTCTTATGTTCTTGTGGATCACTTTAGATCCCTTGGAACTACTCCTTGGTTTTCCACTGCAAGCTGCGTGATGATCCCATTGTTTGGAAAAAAGAACGGTGACGGACAGGAGTGCGACTTGCTCATGAACAAGTTTGACCTCCGGCAAGAAGCGCGGGAACAGGCGGGGCTGCGGAGAGCGATATCGGGGACCAGCTTGATGGGGATTTCCTCACACAAGACGGAGACCTGTCCCACTGTGGAAAGACCCAGGTGTTCTGTATGTCCCTCCGATTCCTCAAGTAGACCAGTCAAACCATCGGTCACGGAACTTCGACTTGCAGGACATTCATGGAATGCGGGCACACTGAGTGTGACTTTTTCCCCCAATTCATCCACAACCCCAACCCCACGCCTGCCAAGTGGAGGACCGGTTGAAACATCACTGAACAGAGTGAAACTGTTTGGAAAAAGTGCTGGTTCTTTGATTGGCAGCGAACCGTGAATGTTTGAGTTTAGTCAGTCTGCAACAGCCACTGATCAGCACTGAAGGACTATATGTATTAGTACTGATCTATCTATCTATCTATCTAGCTATCTAGCTATCAATCAATCAATCAATCAATCAATCCATCAATCCATCAATCCATCAATCCATCAATCCATCAATCCATCAATCAATCTATCTATCTATCTATCTATCTATGTACATAAAACATACATACTAATATTGTTGTTTGGACATTCTTTTGATCTGTGACCTATGTGCCCCCCCGAAGATTGCCCTCCATCAGGTCCTGACTTGAACATGCCGGGTGCGGAGATAAGTCCTCGAGTCAGTAGTCAAAACACGATGTACTCCTACCTTCTGGTAAGAAGACAGGCTCCCAAGCTTCTTCTTCCTCCACATTCATCACCAGTGTAGCCACGCGTAGCCACTTTCCAGTTCCCATCGGGTGTAGCTCACGCATGACACTCGAAATGCCGTTCGTGAAACGAACGACGACGGGTGTCGCAACACCCGATGAAGGAGATCGACGCCTTGGTGACGGCCAAGTCGATCCTCAGCCACTGGGCACGTGGATCCGAGCAGAGGTGTTCTGCGCTTTCGATTCTTTTTGTGAGAGGTGCTGAGAGGTCGGGTGGTTTTTGTCCTCCAAGAAGGTGCTGGGTCTCTGGATGTCTCCATGCTTTGGTCTTTGGAACAGATTTTGAGCAGGATGCTCTGGATACGTGAAGATTATAGTGTTTGAATGGCTGCAGAGGAGCATGACATGCACACCATACAGCATCTCGTGTTGTGGAACGTACTCATCTGGATTCTGGTTCCTCCTTGATCCCTCTATAATGGTAGTCAAAACCAGCTGTATCCGTGACACCATTATACGTGTCGGCTTCTTCATGCAGACGTCGACTGTCATCAGCTTCAAGGCTCCGGTGACCGCAGCTTTGCCTTGCTCAAGTCTCCAGAGCATTGCACTCGAAGCACTCGGAGCACTCGGAGCGCTGTCATGGTGGCATATTCCACTTTGCTCCAACATCGCTCGGAGGTGTCACGTTCGACTTGGCCGCACTCGGACGGTCCGGATCCTTTGCCTTGGGAGGATGCTTGACAACCTCCAAATCCTTTATGTAATCCCGACTGTGCAACAGTAAAACTGCTGTAGTTTCTAACAGCATCTCAAAGCATGGAATTGGTAGTTGCCTGGTTGCTAGCGCTTCTCAGTAAGGATCTATTGCCAATGAAGGTGCCTGTTCCTTCGTCGGTGCTGCTTCCGTTGTCGATGATGTCTTCCACGTTCTTGGAGGAGCCGATATTGCTGGGGGCGATGTACCTTGGCTCATTTGTGATGATGTCCTCATTCCTCATTCATCAAGCCAGGGTTTCTGTAATTTGGAATGTGCTGCGGAAGAAAACTTCAAAGGCAAAAGATCTGGAATGCAAAACACCCATTGCTACTACTTACTACCCCTCACGCCGCACGGTTCTGTCGACAGCAACGCCCCCGCAACATTTGCAGGGTTCTGCATTCTGGTCTTTGGTGTATCCTTCAAAGGGGCAAAGGATGCCAAAGGGTCATAAAGGGTGAGCACTGCCAGCAGGATGCATGGTCTTTCTTCACTTAAGCACCGCCAGGAATCCAACACCGCTCTTTGTCCCCAATCCAAGCGCCGTGAACGGCAAGAGCCGTGGCAAAAAAAGCGCAGTGAAGAAGCGATCAACGTGCACGATCTTTTTTCC